GTAGACAGAAAACACATGAAAACTGACCTTCAAAACTTTCCTGGCACTTTTGGTACAACCCCAGCCACGGCGTTTTGACGAGAATGCGAGTTTTTGTATGGTTTCTTCCAAAAGAACACAGGAACGCACGTCCCGCATGGTGATTTCTGGTGATTTCCTCCCACAGAGTCCAGACCGGAAGTGCGCCAGACGCACCACCACCGCGCCGTGACGTAACAGAGCTGAGTTCGTGTATAATTAAAACGTACTCTTCACACATTCAACTCCTCAATAAATTGAAACTTTTCTTTATCATTCTTATACACCCATGGAGCACAAAAGGGTGTCGTGTGTGGAAAGCATTCGAAACCACTTGAAGCTCTCTCTATTCAAGCATGACAAATCGTAACGCACGCAATGTGCACGCACGACCCACTTTGTGTTCCCCAGGTTTATCAGAATGGTCTATACCAGTTAAAGCTTCTCAGTTTTAAGTGCTTCCCTTCAGTAAGTCGCCAAATTGAAGGGCTGCAAATATTAGTTACTTCAGTTAGCATGTTGGCAATTCGCCCTAACCTACAAAGGTGGTGGGTATTGCTCATCAATTTTCAAAGGAAGCGGCGTTCTGGGCAGAACCTTTAAAAGTTCCTATATCTCTAGGCCAGGGGTCGTTTTGCACAACTAGATGCGCCTATATATATATATATACAGACTTGTACGTAATCCGTTACAAGTAACGAAATTACTTGTAATCCCTTACATTTATCGGTAATTTTGTAACGGAATGATTACATATTTTCTAGAGTAATTTTAAAGTAATTCCCTTACATTTTTGACGTAACGGATTTCTTGTAATCCGTTACATTTTTTTTTTTTGTCAGAACCAACCCCCCCCCGGCCCCCACTCTTAATAAGGTTTCTTTTTTCTGTTTTTCATTTTTGTAATGTCGAACACTGTCGCGCGAATCGACCAGCGCAAAGGGAGGCTTGGCACTCTTCAGTTCCGCAAAGCCTTTTTTTTTTTTTTTTTTTGCAACACCAAGCCCGTGAACCTATCATTTTTTTAGACCATAATATCAATGTCAAAAAATGCAAATGAACAATTCACGAAAAAAAAAAGGAGGGGGGGGGGGGGCAAGTATTTTCGCTTTTTTTTTTGAGTCCCCTTATTTTTTTCTTTGCGATCGAAGACGGAGAGAGGAAGACACCAAGTGATTGTGCGCCTCTTCGAGAAGCTCGAGGCGTTAAGTGCACTGAAAAGAATTAACAATGTACTTCTCGGATATAGTGACTACGACCATTTTCATAATGTCACAACAGGAGACAACGCTCCGTCTACCCTACCCTTTTTGTGAGTCAGCTTTTTGCGAGCACTTAGAAAATGGTAACGGTTTTTTGTTTTTTTTTTCCTGTTTTGCCGGGCTCTGGTTTTGCCCCAGCAGGACGCATCTTATCTCAAGCAGATAGTTTTACAAATAAAACATAATGGTAGCTGACGTAGACTTGATATTATGGGCTTGAGGAGAGAGTGAAACACGTGAGTGGGGCCATAGCGCGGCTTACTTAGTATTCTACACTTTGCTGCCCGTGGCATCAGTGGACGCCTATCTGGAGGTACACACGACCAACGTGCGTTTACATTTCCCTGTTGTAACCGACGTTCTAATTAATTGTTGTTATGAGTGTCCTTCTTTTTCTTTTATTACTTATATTTATATACTGGAAACTTTGTTTTATTCATCGACGTCTCAAGTGAGGCTCGAACCGTTCAGAACCAAAGGAAGAAGAATATCGAGCCAAACCTTATTTATTATTTAATTATCACCTTACTGTTGCAACTATGTTTTGCTAGTGATGACTTCTACAGCTTCGCGATTTAGAGAATGGAGAATTTTAGTAGATCGGACCGATGACTCCGATAACGATATCCGATACTTCGCCGCCGTCTTTGCGTATGCATCATATCGTTATCGGGTACCGTTATCGCGGGTATCGGAGGTATCGGAAGGATCTACTAAATTTCTCGAATAGCAGGCAACGGCTGCAACAACGAAGCTTTGCTCTACATTCGAGGTAAATAGTACTTCCCTTGCTTCGCTGAAAAAGCTCAATGCAGAGCATGAAGCATTTGTGAGGAACAATATGGCACTCCCATCCAGTGCCTCAGCTCAAATGGTGTTCAACGTAGCAGTCGACATATTGAGTAAGAGATAATGCAAAATGTCTGACGAGGCATTCGAGAGCCAGCTGTTGCTCAAAATACTCAAGGCCATTAAATGGAACAGGTGGCAAGAATAAGAACTTGAATAACCCTCTTCCCTTTGTTTCTTACTTGATAACAATAATGTTAAAAGTAACGCCACGAAAGTAACGGATTACTTTTTGGGGTAACGGTCAGTTACTTTCATGGGAGGGTAATTGTAATTGTAAAAAATTACAATTTAGCCTTGAGTAGTTGTAAATGTAATTCCTTACTATTTTTCAGTAACGCGTACAAGTCTGTAATATATATATATATATATATATATATATATATATAGGCGCATCTAGTTGTGCAAAACGACCCCTGGCCTAGGGATATAGACCGACACGCGGAGCGGCTCTGTTTACCAACACGGCCGGAAGGCCGCGCATGCGCGGTAGCTATGTGGGCAAAAGCATCCCGGCTCTCCGTGTTTTCGCCATTGCGCTCTATGGCGTGCGCTCGTTGTTGACGTTGCAGGGACGCTTGTATCTTTATTTGTGCGTCGTATTTCCTCATAACGTATGTCGTATGCTATGCCCGACTATTTGAGCTCGTTGCCCAAGCCTGAACGGTAGCGGTATCGAAACAAACTGTGCGTGGACGGCGTTGCCTACGAGGATCCGTACGCCGTAAACAAGGCCTAGGTGTTGGACTTCCGACGTAAAGTTGCTGCCACGGAAGTCGACGGCTCAGGTCGTCGTTTATTTAGTTTTCGCCAAGTCAGTTCACGGCCGACAGGGTGCAGGCCTACAAGTCTCTCAAGGCCTACGATTACATCGAGTCGGTCTCCGCACTGCCGGCGGGATCAGCAGACTGTGGGTCTGCGGAAGTGTGTGTATTCATTAATTGATTAAATACACAGAGCGTCTTCAAGTCAAGGTATGATATTTTTCATACCCTCGTGACCACAAGGCATTACAACCAGTAAAGGTTTGTCCGTTCTGCAGTTTTGGCGGTAACAGGTTACAAGTAACGGCGTTACCAGGAACGCGTTACTTTTTTCAGTAACGTAGTTCCCTACTCGCTACGTTTTTGACACAGTAACGGGTAACGTACTTATGCTACTATTTCAAATAACGTAGTTACGTTAGTCGTTGCTACTTCCCATGTCTTAAAGAAATCGCACTTCAATTGTTTCCGTGTTTTAGGCGTGAAGCCATGTTTTCTTTGCGATTTTTCTCGTAAGTATTTAGGTGAAACCGTAAAAAGAGATAAAGTATTTATGTTCAGCTTCTGCTTGATATATGACCTGTATCGTCAAAACCGTAAAATGTGTTAAATCATAATTTAAAAAAGGAACGCAGAAGTAACGTGCCTTACTTTTCATCGGTAGCGGTAACGCGTTTCTTTTATATTTAGGTAACGTAGCTCAGTAACGCGTACCTTTTATTTGCAAGTAACGAGTGACGTATTTCGTTACTTTTTTTCGGTAACGCCTACAACTCTGCCGTTCTGTCGCCGATCCCCTTCTGCTCGGTAGCACGTGCGTAGCGAGCCCCCGACGAGCGCTTGGCCGGTGCGTTGTGCGCGAACACCGTGGGAACAAAATCCGGGTGGTCTTGATCAGACGACGGTTTCCCTGCACATAAGCAAGCCTCGCGACGGAGATTGAAATGGAAGCCGCACTTGCCTCCAAGAAAGTGTTTGCCGCACAAACGGTCGTTCGCGCGAGGCGACCATTCTTTTCGATCCACGGATATTATCCACCTTCTATGCCTTTCAGAGTCTGCTGGGAACTTGTGGAAACTCACTCCGCTGCTTTTCTTGTACATTTCGGTGCAATTAACGACAACACAGCTTCGCTACATGCTGAAATGCTATGACGCCCATGCGAAACGTGCGCGCTTTTGCCCACACCCCCCGGCTCCGGCGCGATCGCAGCGCCGCCGCAGCTCCGTGACGTCAAACCCGCGTGTCGGTGTATAGGAACTTTTAAAGGTTCTGCCCAGAACGCCGCTTCCTTTGAAAATTGATGAGCAATAACCACCACCTTTGTAGGTTAGGGCGAACTGCCAACATGATAACTGAAGTAACTAATATTTGCAGCCCTTCAATTGGGCGACTTACTGAAGGGAAAACTTAAAACTGGCTTTCGGCGGGTTCCTGAAAAACTTGGATTCTTTAATTCATTGGATTAAGTACGGTTCATTCATCTGCACATATTCGTTCATATCCTCCTCGGAGACCACGTACGATGACGTGAAGTGCCCATGTTGTATATTCAATAACGTGGCTCTTGATTCTCGCAGATGATGATGATACCGTGTCTCTAAAGCTCATAAACAAAGAATACTACTACATGTACACGGGGCGAGACAAACAGTGGGAGGATTTCTGGAGCACAAACGAGCACGTACCACGTGACACTAAGCGTCGTACCGCGTTCCACGCGGCGGCGTGTGTTTCCAGAACACCTCCGATTGGATACATTTCGTTTCTTGTGCATTAATAAGATAGGTAGGAAACGCCAGAAAGCAAAGGTGGAGTGGTGTAGTGGTTAGCACACCCGACCGGACATTGGGAGGCCCAGAGTTCAAATCCTGGCTCCGCCGTTTTTTGGCTTTCGGCTGAAAAACTTGGATTCTTTAATTCATTGGATTAAGTACGGTTCATTCATCTGCACATATTCGTTCATATATATATATATATTAAACAACATTAAACTCCATTAAACATTAATGTTTAATGGAGTTAGAATATATATATATATATATATAGTTTAATGACAGTTTAATGGAGTTAGAATAATTAGTGCTCCTACCGTCTCAGGGTTTCGATAAAATAAGGAAACCCTCCTGTATGTTTATTTTCCCGAATAAATGCCTTACAGAGGCAATAGTAACGTAGCTTTATACATCTTGTCTGTAACTCAGGTACCTCTGCACGCTCAAATATTAAAAAAAAAGCATGTCCCCCGTGGCTTATACGGCTTTTGGCAAAGAATAATACCGATCAGGATCAATCAAATAATTTCTTGTTAATCACTGGCATCTGCGGCAGAATAGCATTAATTATCATTCATCGTCTATCGGAAATTACCTCCGAAACCTTCTTCAAATATATTTCCATCTCGTCGACCAAATAAGCTGCCAACAAACCGTTGCGAGTTATTTCCTTTTCCTCCCTGAAGCTTCCCTCTTCTCATCTACGAGGAAACAGCGTATTGTCCACGCCGCTGCCCGTTAACCCTATCATGGACGCCAGCGAAGACTCGGGCTGCACGGCAGTCTGCAGCCTGGGCTGTGGCTGCTTGCCGCCCATGACGCGGTTCAAGATGGCGTCGGTGAACTCGGCCGGCAGCACTTCTAGAAGTGTCCAGAGCAGCACGTCGCCGGACGCTGCCGAGTTGTAGCTGAGGAGCGGATACCTGCGAGTAGTGTGCCTGGATTTCAGAGCGTCTCCAACTGTGTCATCCAGGTCACGTAGTTCATGGACCGCGTTTGCAATACGAGCTGCGACGATCTGACAACAGCGTTGTTCGTCTGCGAGCGGCTCCGTCTAATGCGCCCACTTTCCCCCTCTCCACGCGACAACGCAACGCATGCGCACTTGCGACCAATCTGCCCAGGAGGCGTTCGCCATTAAATTGCAAACGCTCTCTGTAGTTTGAGTTGCTGCCTCTCTTGTACCTAGGCTCTTTACCTGTGAGTCAAGGCGTCGACGATGTCCTCTACAACCGCCCTGTGGGGCTGCCTGGCAAAGAGCAGCAGCCGGCGTTCGGCGTTCAGCTTGAAGTTGAGCAGGTACTCGTCACCGTAGGCGTTCAGGTGGGCCTGGGACAACTGACTCAGAGACGACCTCCGCCGCCCGAGTGGTGGTGGGGGAGGCGACGGGGTGTCCACTGTCCTGCGACGGCGGTAAGGTTCGTGAGTCTCCTAGAAGAGACGGCGATTTTCAAAATGCATAGAAGGTTCCACGAACGCATGACACGCTGGTGTATCCGCCATGGCCGAACATGGCGGCCGATCAGTTCAGCTTATACCCTATTCACACGAGCATAAAGGTCCCTTTAGCTAAGGGACCTTAATGGCCAGCGGCGAATGAGGTCGCGATCCGCCGCGCGTGGCATGTGCTTGCGATCCATCAGCGCGGGATGATTCGCCGATTGCAAAGGGACCTACCTTTATGCTGGTCGTGTGAATAGGGTATTAGAAAGCAAACCCTGGCCGTTATCAGGAAGGAAGACCTATTAACGCGCAGAAGCGAACCCTCGATGTCCACTAGGGGGCTGAATGGCGCCTCGAGTTAATATATAGGTATGAAGCCACCAGAAGTGAGTGGCCTGTCTCGGAAGTGAGTGTTGCTTTCCTCATTCTTCCGAGCGTTAGTTCGAACAGCGTTCAATATGAATGCTGGATATTTTCCCTTTATCTCGAGAGATCCTGTTTGCTTCCCGGTAACAGCGCATGCAGACGCGAGAAGTCTTCTGGGAAGCAGTGCGATTTGTGACAATTTCGAGATTTATAGTTGATCAAATGTGCATGCCCCATGTTCGAATGCCTAATTCTAAGGATTTCATGCTAAAGGAGATTATTAAAGCACAGTTTCGAAAAGCAAGAAAACGTGGACTCGGGCATCGACTGCATGCGTGAACCAAGAAGCCCAGGAGATGCCCGACTTCCGGGCCAAACATTGAACTTCCGGTGGCTTCAATCGCACCCGGCTCAGTGCCAAGGACGCCATGCTATTGACCCCTTTCGAACGTCTATTATGCAACATTGGCGGTCGCCATTGTTTGGACACGAAGCGCCTGACTGGGACCGAGTCCTCTCCGAACATTGACGCAGCCCTCGTGTCAAATACATGCTCGGGGGGATCGGTGGCCGAGAGGTCCAGTGCACACCAGCTCGGACCACGCGGAGCAAAAGCTCGCGCTCCAGGAGCCAGGGATCCTGGCTTCAACACCCCCCACCCCTGCCCGTTTCGATCAGGAGGAGCATCGTACCGGCGTGCGGTCGTGTATCACCACTGTGTGGTGCGCGTTAAACAACCCAGGGTAGTGGTTGCACTGCACTGGCTAAACTGCTCATCTACAGACGAGAGACAAGTCGCCTGTTGAAGGCAGACTAACTTCGAGGCTTTATAGACATACACAAAAACACAATCATTATTATTATTACATGTTCGGAGTACGTCAGCAAACAGTCTAGGACAGGCGATTACGAGGACTTTTCAAAGGGGTCTATTCTCTACTTTTGGAGACCTTCAATCAATATAGCTCTCTATTTTTTTTTTATCTCCGGAGCTTAAAATACGCTTACTTATCATTGGTCGGGAAACGTTTCTGATCAATAATAGCGCCGTTTGTGCGCGTGCGTCGATTTTGAACGAACATATAACGAGGCAACCGGGCATTTCCATACAAAAATGTCATATGGTCGGCTATAGAAAATTCTTTGTATGGTCGGCTTTAGCTATTTGGCCCAATCAGCTAAAGAATTTTCTATGGCTGTCTTTAGCATCTTTTATGTTCGTCTTTATACACCAATTCATGTTTACAAGCAAACCTAGCGCCCCTAGCGGACGCCACCGGCGCCACGCATGCGCGATGGGGGTGTGGGCAAGAAGCTCGCCGTCGCCCCATAAACAAACCATTGAACTGCGATGTTGACGGCGTCGGTGTGAGTCCCCCTGCCCTTTTTCGCGTTAGAATTGTTGATTCTACGTCTTCCTGGCGATGTCTGACTATCTTGAGCGGCGTCAGCGAAATTACTGAGGTTCGTTACACCGGAAAACTTCGCGTGAATAATGTGACATGTGGCGATTCATTCCGCATGGACTTTCCGCAGGCTTTAGCGTATGTACGCTAAAGCCTGATTTGCATGATGAGATTTCGCTTGCAATTTTCAGTCACGACGCAACACGGGATGCAAAAGCGTGAACCAAAGCTAAGATGGTCGACGTCGATACTGAATATCGCAAGCAGAATCGGACCAAGTGAATTAGGCATAACCATTCGGTGATGGTCACTAGTAACAATGATCAACATCTCCTTGCGTCTACTGTTGAAATCAAGCCTGCTTGCCAACCTTCAAATTTAAGTCTTTTGAAGCCTGCACTTACTTCTTATCTCAAGTACCGAGCCAACATTTGGTCTACGGGCCGCCGTCGTCTAAGAGAGCAGACGACAAGCAAGAACGTTTGAAACAGCAGACGACAGTTCGAACGATCAGGCGGCCGTTTGAACTTGAAGACGCACTGAACGTAGTCCGCAGCTGGTCCGCACAACTTGACCGTTTTTGCGGGCGTTAATGTTGGAACAAAAATAAATAAAACTGATGACCACAAGTATCCGTGAATTCAACCCGAAGTGCTTCCCGCCCAAGCAATTGTAGTCCGACGGCGTCTGCTTTTCCCTTTTCACGGCACATATCAAGATTTTCGGACGAGCCGAGCAAGTGAAAACTGACTTTCAAACCTTTCTCGACACTTTTGGTACGGCCCCACTCGCGGCGTTTTGACGAGAAGGCAGGTTTTTGTCTGGTTCCTTTCAAAACAACGCAGGAATACACGTCTGGCACGGGGACTTCTGCCCACAGCCCCAGACCGGAAGTGCGACCGACGCGCCACCACCGCGCCGTGACGTCACAGAGTTGAGTTTGTGTAAAGGCCTCTTTAGCTTTGTCTGTGGCCCTATCACTGTCCAGCCATAGCGCTCTTTAGCTTCTATAATGGCTGACTCTCTATAACCAGCATGCTAGAGCTCCTTATGGCTCTTCCTTTGGTGTCTTTAGCCATCTATAGGATCAGGTAAAAAAGGTTGTATGGGTTTTCCTATGGCTCTCTTTAGCCAGGACACTCTAAAAAAATATTTCTTTTCAACTTTTGAACGCTACATGGTAGATACACATACATCACTAAACACACATAATACACAGAACACAAGAACGGCCCCCACACAACATCAACGACGCAGCCGACACCTAATTTTGTTTTTCTTTATTGCAAGATTTTGACAGTGAACAAAAACAAAGACCCCTCTCTACGTGCGCTAAGTTCGCACTACCACCATATATGGTCTTATTTTTTAATCCGACTTGACCGGTGACTGCCGTCATTTGTTGCATAAACACGGAAAGGCGGATCAAATATACTTGTACTTAATACATATATTTCAATTGTCTCTTGTATTAGCCCCCATCTCTTAGTTCAACACCCTAAAAAAGCAAATGTAGATCATTAGGCTAATTAACTAAAATTTAATAATTATATTTTAATAAGTTTGATGAATTATGTTCACAATGCAGTGATGAAACGCAATACACTGCAATCAAGCTATTGTTGATTGCAGTGTGCGGTGCCAGTGTATTCTTTTTTCACTCTTGGGGGTAATGACTAATTTTAATTGTTGCACAAGTATGTCGATGGATTTTCCAAACAAACAATATTACTGGTTTCCACGACCCGTTGCAAGATCAGAGAACATATCTTGTTTCATGCTTTGTCACCGGTATTACCTCAATTTAGTATTGCTTTAATATCCTAACCTTTAACGTTTTTCCTAAAAAGTAGGTGCCGGTAGTGATTACCAAAAGGCGTGTAAAGAAAATGCATGCCTTCCTAGTCCTTACACTCGGGTTCATAAATTTTTCTATAGGCGGTCTTTAGACTCGTGGCCCTGTGGCCCAGTCTTTACACTTCCGGCCACAGAGCTTTCTATGGGCGGGTAAAGTAAATTTATTGATTTCCAGTCTTTAGACACAGGGCAATAGATATTTCTATAGCTGGCTGTAGCTGTATTTATGGATTTTTTTGGCCAACCATAGAGGGCCATAGGGGGCGATAGCCTGCCATATAAATTTTCCATAGACGACCATAGACCATTTGTGTATGGGTTCAAACTAGTGCCACTAAATAGGCTACGCTTCAGAGTGACGACACTTGGCCATATTTTGTCTTAAAATCATGGTTGCTAGTTATCTTAAGCTTTATCTAAAATCACAGGAAACGCATTTCCGCCTTCCACAAATATTTAAACAGTTCGCGACAGAGCAAGGCAATATTACATGAGCTTCCTAACACCGAATCTAATGCTGAGGAAGTCACACTTTTGAATCATGACGATCGGCAGTTTGGTCTGCTCTGCATACGAGCCAAAATGGCGGCGCCCACAACAATGTTGGGGAACGGTGTGCCGATACTCTAAGCGCAGCTCATTTAGTGACTCTAGTTCAAACCACCGCCAAGGACGGTCGCGCGAAAGGGCTACATACCTTCATGACCGCGGGTAAGTCTGTGGAGAGCTGGCCAATATGTAGTCAGACATACGATCTAGTGCATTACGAGGTGCGAAAACCGATACGGCACAGAAACAATGTACGTATTCGCGTCTCCGGCTCCCTGCTCGCCCTCTCGCGGCGGAAACGGGTCTCCTTGTCAGCGGACGTGGCAGAACTGCGTGCGATCATGGCTCGCGAACAGGCATTTCTGAATTCAAACAACACTCTTCACTGTCCGAGTGTAGTGTTGCAGCACCTATGGGACTAAACCATGCGGTTTCACCGGTTTTCGAACGCCAACAAAATGGGACGCTGTGAACGTACGTGCAAGTGAGTAGGTGTTACTTGGAGCTCAGGTTGAGATTGGCGAAACGACGGCGCGCATAATTCAAAGAAAAAAAATAAATGTTCTAAGAATTTTTGAAAATAAATAAAAACAAAAAACGAATTTTTTTTTTTTTCTTTTTTCTTTGTGTGTGCGCATTTATGCAAATAAATTCGCTGAAAATTTTGAAGTTTTACCTAGGTAGCGACTTTAATAGCACCATATGCTTTACCAACATTTAATGTCATTTTATATAGTATTGTTATGGAGACCTAAAGGGTTTCAGTGATTTTGGACTAGTT